GCAAGGCCGTTACGCGAACATACGTAATGCGTATAGGAACTCTCCACTGAATACAAGAATATAACGCAGACGGCGCAATTTCAGCTGCGTCACATCGTGTAACACGCGGCTGCCTAATTTAGGCACTCCAGCATAAGACTGGCTTCTTCTTGTTTCATAACACTACAGTCGTTTCAACAGAAATTAAAACTTCTTAACGGTGTAGAAATGGTTCCTTTAACAGGAGTGATACACAGAAGTCAAGACACCTACCTCCCCCCCCCAACCATAACTTTGTTTCAAGAGGGAGGCTAGAACGCCCTGCACTATCGTCGCACGAAGAAAGTTTGTACTCAAGTACACACAAAAATAAATATATATCCTATGATATAACAGTTGAGACACTGAACAAGCTTAATAAACTGCTTATTCGTGTCCTTTACTCTCGTCTCGAACAACTGCACAACATGCGTTACACTACATCACACCTGCCACTGCTTTATGAAACGTTAATCCCTTCTGGTCCACCGGCGCACTGGGTACGACGTGCGTGTTTTTGCACGTTCCGGTTCCATAGCCCACCTTGGGGCAGTGATTTTCTGAGGTTACTGAATTTTGGGGAAGTTAATAATAGAGATATAATGGTAGTAGAAAATACATAGCCCAGTGGCATTTAAAAGGATCGGCAGAGAGCCGTAGTGAAAACAAAACGTACTAAAATGTAAAAGTAGAACAGGCTGTGGAGGCCCATAAGTTTGTGAGACGTCGAGGCTCCCACATTTTCTAGACAGTCGGCTCACAGATGGCGGTAAGGTTGTCAGCCTTACGCGCCGGCCGCCCTTTACCCCCCACGAATATTCCTGGTACTCATTTTTGTTGGAGGCTGAGACGACCCGAGGGCAATAATGCGGCTGGAAGGATTAGGCAAACTGAAAAAAAAAATCCACCTTATCGGGACTCGAACCCGCGACTTTCCGTCTTGTAATATAAAAGGAAAATTTTCTTATTCCTTGTGTTGTCCTGTGTAGACACGAATCCTAGTGAAACACCGAACCTATTTGGAATGCTTAACAATAAACAAAATAGCACGCCCATACACCGAGCAGGTTCGCTCAAGTGGTGACGTGTCTTACTTTTATTTGGTAGGTATTCGGTTTAAAACTCGGTCGGGACTTCGACTATCCTGACAGCGGTATTTGTGGATTTCCTCAGTCCCTCTGCGCAAGTAGTTACTGTCTTAAATTAGGACACGAAACGCTTCCTTTTTCATCCACTCCAATTCAATGTTCCTTAATCATCGTATTATTCAACGCTATGTACTTTGGGATACTCATGTCGATAATTGAAATACAGAAGAACAAAATAGGCCCCTATATTATTACGTAGAAACAGCCAATGATCGACTAGGCAAAATATTGTATCCAGTTCATTTAGTGATTCACACGGACAATTGGAAAGCAAGCAGCCGCCTCGATATCCTATTTTATTCTATGCATCCTGGTTAACAAAAACATGTCCGTAGGTATGAGAAATATGCAGACAACAGTTTATCTTAAATCGACTAAGTAACAATGAAGTAGCCCTTATTCATGTGCGAGTAAACTGACATATACTGTGGCCTAAAGAGGTCTTGTACCCTAACGTGAACTATGTTATATTTCGAGGCTTAAGTGGACTGTGATTTTCAACGAAATGGCCAAAACATTTTATGTCACCAGCTTCATACTAGAGTGGGAGATGTCGCAAGGCTGACTGCTCTCAACAGGAACTCTAAATGTCTGCCTCAGATACATTCCGATCCACGGTGAAATTAAAGTAAAGTAAAACAGTAAGGCCGCGCCATAGCTAAAGCGGTTAGTCGCTGGCTTCCCACCGCGGCAGCCCGGGTTCGATCCCGGGTGTGGTCAAGTGGGATTTGTGGTGGACAAAGTAGCGCTGGGGCAGGTTTTCTCCGAGTACTTCGGTTTCCCCTGCCAATCTTCATTCCACCAATTGCTCCACAATCACCCTCACCTATCATCTGGAGCTGGTACAATAGGCCAGAAGTGGCCGCAGTACAAGGGACTTAGTCCCGCCCCGCTATGAATAAAAAAACCAGTAAACGTATGAAATATATCGTAAATAATGCATCTTTCAGTTTAGATAATACTATAGATATAAAATGGGGCAAATTTGTATTCCTTTTTAATTTTGTTTGTATTCTAATGTTTTTATTTCTACTCAATTTCCTTTCTGTCTAGCTCTATAGACTTTTGGACCTTGGCCGCTTTTAGTTTCTTAATTCTATACACAGTCGGTATGACTCCTTAGATGGGGGATCAGCCCGTCGCAAGGCCGCTACCTACAGACAGGACAGCACAAACACAGAATAAACGCATACACGGATCCATGCCTCGAGTTGGATTCGAACCCACGATCCCAGTGTTCGAGAGGGCGAAGACGGTTTATGCCTTAGACCCCGCGGCCCTTGTAATCGGCTATTTCTACTCCAGCTCTTCATAATTTCTGAGCAACAAACTAAATGTGCAGTACAGGGTTTTGCCGTAAATATTTCGCGGTTATAAGTGATTGAGAAATCTTCTGATTTTTCCAGGTTTCCTCACGACCATGTGATAACAGCATAAAATAAACATGATACTTCCTAAATAAGACAAAAGGTTTAGGATTACATCAAGTATGGGTCAGAGGTACACTGCAGAACTTTTACGGGTAGAAGATTTGCAACTGGCGATAAGAAATCAATTACATTCAAGAAGACATTATAAGCTGATTACATCGGGGAGTCCATGAGGCAGTTAACTTCAGAATATTCTGTCTTTACATAATCCACCTACAAATATAAGGATTAAAATGTATAAAAATAATCGTATCCATGTTTTGCACGGGTATAAAACAGCACATTGAGGTCAATATACGTATTTCAGTTCTGATCAGAAAATTACAAAAAAGAAACAAGCATATTCTATAAATGAAAGGGGATTTGAAAATTATTGAAAATTATAGGCCTAATACTAAAACGACGGATACAAACTTGAAAAAAAAATTGTTGCTAATGACGTTAATGAAATACGTATACAAAACCAAAAAAAGTTCATTTTCATCTCTGATATTTCAAAATAAATGGAAGAACATAAGCTGCTTGTGCAGCGTGAAATTAATTATGAAGCACTCGGTTAATTCGCAACATGAATAGTGCCATTAACTTCCACGTAAATGGAGTTCTCTAATGCACCAGACAGGAATTCCATGCCCTACTTTAAACACACGCGAGATTAAGGCAAGTCAGGGAGTCTTCTGGGAAATGAGACCATTCAAGTGCAAGTAGAAAGATACAAAATGTTCGTTTGAGAGACAGACTACTTAAGAATCGTCCATTAACTAGCTCTGTGGATCTGACTCCATCTTCAGAACACTATGGTTACTTGCCTACTTACGAAACTGGACTCTTTTTACGGAAGCCAAATGTTCATTAACGTGTTCACAAAATCCCCTTAGTAATCCCTCCCTCGCGTCAGTTTAATTCAACCAATATCCTCAAATCCTATCTTTTTAGATTCGTTTTAATATTATTCTTCCTCCTACTTCTAGGTCCCTCAGGCGAATCTTCTTTTCAGGTTTTCCAAACTGTATGTATTGTTCATGTCCCTGTGCATGCTTCTCTTCCCGACTACCTCACATAACAGTGTTCAGTGCAAAACTGGCTGACTCCATGGAGCTGAGCCGCCAGTTGTGTAGCTTGTCAAGAATTTCCCAACATTTTATGGAACCTCAAGGTTTATTATCGTGTTCACAAGAGCCCTCCACTGGTTCCTGCCCTGAGCAAGATCAATCCAGTCCATACCACCCCATTCTATCTCTCCATTTTAATATTATCCTGCCACCTATGTCTAGGTTTTCCAAGTGGTCTCTTTTTCTTCTGCCTTTCCTACCAATATCATACACATTCCTATTCTACACCATGCGCGCTACATACCATGCCAATCTCATCCTCCTTGACTTGATCATTCTGATTTTACTTGGCGAAGACTAGATGTTATAAAGCTGGTCATTACGCAGTTTTCTCCAACTTTCTTTCACTTCATCCCTCAGCCTATGTTCCTCCCTTAATATTTCACGCCCATACAAAAACACAGTAAGTAGGTAAAAGTAAAGCTATCCCTGTAACAGGCTGTGAAGGTCCATAGGGTTGTGAGACGTTGAAGGTCCCACATTTTCTAGACAATCGGCTCAAAGATGGCGGTAAGGTTGTCAGCCTTACGCGCCGGCCGCGCTTTACTACCCAGGAAAATTACTTAATTAATTCCTGGTACTGATTTCTGTTAGAGGCTGAGTAAACCCCAGAGCCTAGTGCGGCCGGAAGGATTAGGCAAAATTATAATTTTGTGTATTCTAATGTTTACGTTTTTAGACAGAAGACGAGAGAATTAAGTTCCTGATTATGTAAATTTCTCCCGCCTTCCGTTAATTCCCCTCTCTTAGGTCCAAATATGCTCCTTAGCACCGTAATCTCTAACACATTCAGTCTCCGTACTTTCCTTCAGATGAAAGACCAAATTCCACTCTTTAGATCAACGTAATTCTGTGGCTGACCCCTCATTGGTGCGTTTGTACGTACTTTACCCACGTTTCAGAAATGGCCTACACTAACTGTAAGTCGGTGTAGCGACTGGCTACGTGCTGGAGGGCTAAGGAGTCGGAGTTCGAATCCGGGTAGGGGAAAGATTGTACTCCTCTTCACGTCGTCCAGACCGGTTCTGCGGCCCACCCAGCCTCCTGTCCAATGGGTACCGGAGCTCTTTCCCGGGGGTAAAGCGGCCGGGGAGTAGAGCTGAACACTCACCTCCAACTAGTGCCGAGGTAAAAAATACGTGGATCTATACCTCCAACCCCCATACGTCTTCATGGCATAGTGCTTAATTAGCTATGCACAGGGACTAATTTTACTTTTTACCATCATATGTATAGTATTAAATGTCCCATGAACTCAGACATACGAAAGAAACGAGCTAATGAATACCTACCGAACGGTGATATAATTCAAATAAAACTTCTTTAGGCGCTTATGCTAACAAAGCTGATTTAAGCACGTGTAGATCTTGGACTGTTCGTGTTAGTTCCAGTCGGTGGATGGATGTTACGTTCGCTTCTCTTCTGTGGTATGTCGTCCTGTGTGCGTAGAACTTGCAGCAAATAAATCTACCACGACACAGAACACGAAAACTGAACAGTTCCCCCAACTCCACCTTTGCCATTCTCCATTGCAATAGCTGCTGCACAGTCAGTCTGCTCCAGTCTGCTCTTAGCGACAGTGCTGCTAACATTACTTAGTAGAATAAACGCCTATAAAGTCCCGTTCCTTATTCCTTGCCGACGTGGCAACACTGCACCACAGGACCACACTGTGTCATTCAGCGTATACAAAGCGCTGTTGCCAACCGCAAACAAACTCAAAGGAAGTTAGGATCCACATACAGTACATCTGAACGATGTCATCAGTACTGAAACTTCGGACTGAGTACGCGCCAAACGTTGTAGCCACAGCCGTCTCTATTTGAAAACACTAAGGTTGCCTGTTCGATTACAGGCTTTGATCCTATCTTTCAGTTATAATGAAAATTGTTAATATTATTTTTTTTTCTTTCCCACTCACTCCCAATTCTTCTGCGACCGCCTCTGTGGTCAAGTGCTCAGAGTTCGTGGCTACAGATCCAGAGGTCCAGGGTTCGATTCCCGGCGCTACCAGATTTTCTGAGAAGTAGTGGGTCTGGAATGGGACCCACTCAGCCACGTGAGGATAACTGAGGAGCTATTTCAAAGAAATAGCGGCTCCGGCCTAGAAAACCGAAATTAACGGTCGTGGGGATTCGTTGCGCTGACCACGTGACCTTTATCAACTAAAGTTGGCACTAATTTCGCCAACAAGCGGCGGTCGCTCGGTTGGTATAGTTCGTTTGCGGACTAAAGCCGCAGAGTTTAGTTTAGTTTTTTTCTAGGGCACATCGCCGCAAATTTATCTGGCTTGGTGCCCCATTTCCCATCCGAGGAGTGTTACTAGATCTCTGAAGGACTCACTGACTTAGAATTAGGCCAATTATGAATCTTAACCGGAAACAGCTGAAGAACCCTGTCCACATATTAACCGCAAGAAATACGTAATGAGATGTCTTGTAAATCTCATTATTCAGACTAATGTAACCGGCACTTTTTGTTCCATTCTCTCGCATTACGTTACGCTGTTCCCTATTGTGTACCTCCTAAGTGGCCACTGTTGTCCACACCTGCGGGTACCGTTCTGAGTCAGTATTGCCTGACCCCAGCATCGTTATCGAGATATCGCGAGTCATGACGTCACATGAAAGAGAGAAAGAGAGAATAAGAAGGAAGATAAAAGGTCTGAAGTAGCCATGTGAAAATGGCAGTTAGAAAGTATGGGCGTGAGGGTGGGTGGGGTATCTGCAGCTACTTGGGTGCGCAGTGGGCGTAACACAAATAATGGCCTTACACTAGGATTGTCTGGCGTTTCAAACTGCCAGGCATACGAGTACCAGAACGCTCAGCAGCGTGAAAAGAAAATCCATCCTATTCACCAAATTTATATTCTTCCTTTAAGATTTACTTCCCTAACTTAAACCTCCTCTTCCCCATTTCTTTTCCCATTCTTTATTGTCGTATTTATTCTGTCTTTGGATGTTGGAGGGATCTGCGTGCCTGCTCTCTACATATCCTCTTTCTTATAGTTCTGTCTCGCTTTTATTATTTCATTCGACTTCCCTTCTTCTAATCCTCTTATCTTTTGTTTCTGTCTCCTTTCTCAGAGGTCTAGTGCTTTAGAGGATGAGTTTAATGTTTAAACTTGATCTCCCATCATTTCTCTACCATATCTAACCCAACATTTCAGCAAGCTTCTTCACGGGTCTTTGCTAGCAACACTTAAGATGTCAGAGTGTGACTGAGTTGTACAACCAAGACTGTCATAGACTGCAACTTGTTACGTGTTTATAGGTGTCCTCTAACAACACAAATAAAAACATGGGCTATACACCATAAAGACATGCCATGTTCGCTTGTAGCGTGTTGCAGATTCTGAACCATGTAAAAGAGGAAAAGATTAGAAAGAGTAAAACGTATAAAGACTAAATCTGGTACGGAATATTTGTAATTCCATTAATGAGTAAAAGCTTCTTACTCTCTTCCTGAAGGAACTGATGGAGAAAGGTTCTCTCCAATGACAAGTTAGTTACGTCATTTAGACAACACCTCTCTATCCATTTTCATAGTGCAACAAAGAAAATAAACATCCATCTACGAGGGAGGGTCAATAAATAGTTCACAGATGGAAGTAAAACAGCTCTAATGGACGTATTAGGTTTTCTGTGTATATCACTAGGTAGCAGCACAGTCCAGCTCTATGACAGTCTAGGCAGCAGAAGCGCATGCGCATATTCAGAGACTGGTTTCAGGTGTTAAAATGGCGACCGTGCTTGAGGAGTATCTTACCGAAGAGCAGTATTCTGTTGTACGTTTTTTATGGATAAAGGTACTCGCTGCAGAGGATATTCATAAAGAAATATTTCCAGTTTATGGTGGGAAGTGTTCGTCGCGTAAAGCGGTTCACAACTGGGTCGAGAAATTCTCTCAAGGACGTTCGAAAGTCGCAGATGATGAACGAAAAGGTCGCCTAGTTCAGATTTTGATAGAAGCAGAGACTTCTACGCTGCGGATTTCGACGCACTGGTAAAGCGATGGGGCAAGGATATCAATGTTGGTGGAGCATATATCGAGAAATAAATGTTTTTCCCAGGTTCCAATACCGCATGTTTTACGTTTTATGTCCATTTGTGACCTATTTACTGACTCTACCTTTACATCTATAACCTACAAGGCATTCGACCACAGAATGTCTCTCTTCGAGCGGTCCCACACCGTAGGCCACTAATGGCAGCGAATGACGGTGAGGCGGGCCGAACTGCAATCGGGCTGCCCAAGGCGGTTTTTCTTGCTACGGTGGTAAATTTCTGTCTGATTACACCAATGCAGTTGGTCTGTCCTACAGAACAGTATAGAATGAATAGGGCCCACAGCATCGGACATCAACTGTTCAGTTTACTGGATACTTCTGTTCCCTTGATAACCGGGCCAGTAACGGTGATGTTCTACACAAAATACAAGATTTATATTGCAAGCCACGAGGGAAACAATGGTATTTATTCTCTGTCTCTCTTATTAATATAAACTGCAGAAATAACACAACTTCGCGCTCTTTATGATAATCTTCAAGGTAAAAGTTAATGAAATTCCCCTTGTTCTTAATTAAGCACCACGTCATGAAGGTGTATGGGGGTCAAGGCATAGATCCACACACTCTTAGCTTCAGTACTGGATGGATGTGAGCCAATTTCATGCTACGAAATTTTTACCACAGGAAAAGATCTCGATACCCATTGCATAGGAGTTTGGGTTGGCCATGGCGTCGAAGTGGTGGTGTTATGCGTGGACATAAATCACTTATGCACTATAATGCATGTTGTGGTGGCCTAGCAACCAGACCACAGACGGAGAAATGGAGAACGAACAAAAGAATTTTACAGGCAGTACTTTATACTGTGTATTGTTTTAGAGATAACGTCTTGCGAACACTGAAATGGGCTTCAAGGAGCGCGGAAATTAAGTTAATAAAAATATGTTGTGGGGTGGGTATATATATCACACGGCTGTACTTATCTCACCGTAACTTTGGAATTAAAAGGTTTTCTTCCTTTCAAGCCTGCACTAGAATTATTTGTTTAAAAATCCTATATCGCATACAATGAATAGATGAAAATATTTATATTCGTATTTAGTCATACCGTTTCATCTTCAGGGTCTTCTACGTGTTTTCGTGGTTATTTTCAATAAATTAATCGCCTCACTCTTAACTTTCATAGAACTTTGTTGTCTTATATTCAGCTACGATCATTCACACATTTCTGAGGTACAATGTATACTTTTCAGAAGGTTTTTGTGACATCCCAACCGTAACATTCGTATTAATAAGGGTCTTAATAAGAGGACCACACACTGTAACATATATGAGGTAATTCATTTTGCTCGCTTTAAATGTTTCGGTCTATACGTGTCATACAACCACAGAGCAACGTATGGTAGGACGCAAAAACTACACAAAGCTAAAAGAACAGAAACACTACAAGGAAACATATACAACAACTGTAAATACTACAATCGAAATAACAAACAAGAAGACACTACAACAACAGTCATACCCCATACTTTCATACATGTAATTTTATAATATTTATAATACTAAAGCAATTTTAATGCACTTCTTTCAGTGTATGCCTTCTGAAGATGACCCATACTGGACGAAACGTATAGAGGTATTAAAATAAATTACCTCACGTACGTTACAATTATTATCTTATTAATAACATTACTGTCTAAAAAGGGTAAAAGGTAAAGTTGTCCTTGTACTAAACTAACTAAGCATTGCGCCATGAAGGCGTGTGGGGGAGCGGATGTATAGACCAAATTTTCTTGACCTCGGTACTAGGTGGTGTGGTCAGCTTCACGCCCCGGCCGCTTTATTCCCGGGGAAAGAGCCCCCGATACCCATTTGATACGAGGTTGGGTGAACCCAGAGCCGGTCTCGACGACATGGAGAAGTGACAATTCTTGCTCCCACCAGAACTCGAACTCCGATCCCTTGGTCATCTGGCCCGTAGCCAGTCGCTAACCCGGCTCCCTCATTACTGTGAACACTTATACCAAGTATTGTGTTTCCTATGAAATCTGATGAAATATTTGAAAATACGATGCATAATCTAAATGAATGCATTCCGTTCCATAAACATAAAACAATACTGGAAGCCAAAATTCAGGATTCCATGTAAACGAATTTATTTGTGGTTTATTTAAAGACACTGTTCAGGAACTCAGGCTATGTATATCCTTGAATATAGCGCATCGGTCGGAACTACAGAAAACACATCTTCCTCTATTGTTGCGTGTTGGACAAGGTTTAGAGAGCTGTTGCCTGGCAACGAGTTGATCAAATCTATTACAATTTTATTGAATTGAGGTGTCTGAGATTGTCATGACAAATAGCATGCACAGGAGACTTGGTAAATGAATTAAAATGTTTATGAGGAAACAGAAGAGAAGTCTAGTTGTAAAATGCATCCGCAGACAGGGCGATAATATTAATAAGAACGTTATAAAAACGCAGTGTGAATTTATGAACTGGATTAAAGTAGTCCGAAACAGAGACCATTGGTGAGGTG